AAATAAAACTGTATAAATATCAAGAGTTGCTAAAATCAAATTGTCAAGCAAATCAATAGTAGTTTTATATTCAATATCTTTACAGATTTTGCTGAATTTACTCATAATTTTATCCTTAATTTTAACCCATCTATATCGTGCTAATTCTAATACAAGATTGATTCTCTATAGACAAGATTTTTTTGCGAATTTCTTATTTTTTCTAAATACAAAATGGAATAACTTTTCAAAAAAAGAATGATGTACTAACAAAACCTGTTCTCAGCTATTTAGTGACAACTGAGGTAGGCCTAACATAGATATAAATAACTTAATATTTTGTGATATTGTGTTGGTATACAATACTTTTCAAATAAATAGCTGGCCGGGCTAGTTAGTAACAACTAGTATAACCTAATTATATATATTTTTATTAATTGATAAAATAAGATTTAAAATACTGAAATAGTCTTGTACTAAATGTAAATACTGTTCTTTAAAACTGATTAACTTGAGTCTATTTATTCTTTTTGTTCTGCAATATGATTATTATAACTATATAGTATTAGTATTTCAATTCGATCAAATTTGTTAGTAGTTTGATATAATTTTAAAATTCATGGGCTTTCTGAATATAAAATATCAAATAATCCTGTATATTTATTAATTAAATACCAACAGACCCTTGGCACTTCAATATTTGTAAGTTGTGAATTAATATACTATTGTATATAAGTTGCAAAGAGTAATGATTAACAGGTTTTACTATACATATAGCAAAGTGATTTGCGGTTGATATTGATACTGTGTTTGGTCTTCAGTTTTTATAGATTGAATGATAATTATCAATATTGTAAATATGAAACATATTTTTCTAAAAAAAAAAAAAAATTAATATATATAATAATTGCTTTTATAATGTACAGTATATAGTATATTATTTAACTTATTAATAATTTATTTATATTTTCTAAAAAATACTATTCAATTTTTGTTACATGTTCTTTTTTAATTTTATTGCGAAACTCTTCTACTGTTTTCATATATGCAGAATATCCTAAACTTAACATAGTATCAATTGCTTCCCAGGTTGCTTCTGATGCTATCAGATATAACTCAACTTCTATTTTATATTGGTTGACAAATTTGTTTCGCAAACCTGCTATAATATAGTATAACCCAATTATGAATTTTTAGCTTCATTTATGTTGTAAGCTAAATGCTCTTTAGGAATAATTGTATCTATTATATTCTTAAAAAAATCTTTAAGCTGAGAGTTAGTCTTTTTAATCATGTACTCAAAATTTTCTAGATCTAATTGCAAACCAGTATATTTTCAATATTGCTAGTAGTACAATACTTTTGTTAATATTTGTATATTTGAAGCAAATACAAAATCTAAAATTTAATTAATTTAATTATAGATAAATAAATAAATAAATAAATAACAATTCTTAATACAAAGTATTTGATTACTTGAATTATTATTATTTAATCCAAGTTTTATTAGTTCCATTTTTTCAGACAACTGTTGTTGCTAATTTGTTGCTACATTTAAAAGGCTTGCTATCAGATTCAAAATATTTTTAGCCAATTCATCATTAAAATATACTGATATATCTGAAGTAGTTATAATTAAGTTTAAGGTAGTTGCTACTAAGTTTGTTGTAATTGATACTGGGTTTGTAGTAGTCATTACTGAGGTGTTTGCTATTGAGTTTGTAGTTTCTACCAATTTGGTATTATTTTGCAAATTTTTTTTTTTTTTTTACTTTATACTTCTTCTAACCTCTGTTAGGCTCTATGATCTTGAAGTAGTAAGAGTGGCAAAGTTGGTGCCCAACTTTAAAATAAGAATATAATTTTAATATTTGTTTTTCATCACACTTTCTATATAGGGACCCTCATAGCAAAAGGGGGTAGTGGAACAAAAATTTTGATTTTGTAATTTTATAAACATTGGTTTTCTATCAATCTAATTTTTCAAGAAATCAATTA